TGTGTGTGTGTGTGTGTGTGTGTGTGTGTGTGTGTGTGTGTGTGTGTGTGTGTGTGTGTGTGTGTGCGTGTGTGTGTGTAGGGATGAAGCGTGGGCAGGGAGCACGTGAATGTGATTGGCTGGAGGGCAGGCAGAAGAGTGGGCTGAGGCCAGCGGTCAGCGTCCAGTGTCTTTGGCAGGGTAGCTTTTTGTTGAGGACCAGAGGGATGCAGAGCTATCTGGTAACCAGTATAGGTTTGAGGAGGCAGCATACTGGTGTGGGCCGCTTCAGTTTGGTTGGCTTGTTGTGATGTCCGTCGGCACAGACAGTAGCGCCGTCCCAAGTCTTATGAGCAATCTGGAACCATTTACACTCTCGAATGACCCAGATGGGCGGCCAATCTCCGAAAACTCACGTCTGCAATAACAATATCGCATGCCAATTGGTGCATTTAACAAAGACATCAGACAGCTAGAGAGAAGCTCATGAAACACCACTCCCTTCTCACCCACCCCCCCTCCATCCTCCACATCCTTCACGTTCTTGCTTGAAATACCTTGTAGAATAGCCGCTGCCTACAGGATATTTCTAGCAAGCCGCAACCTGAAAAAAAAAAAGAAAAAAAAAAAAAAGAAAAGAAATGAATAGCAGCAGTCTTCCCCTTCCTGATAATACCAGTAGCTCGCGCAGCAACCGTCCACGCACCCTACAAGTTAACACTGTCACGTGAAAAGGTTTGGCCTACCGGAGGGAAAAGGCACAACCCAGCCCACGAGGGTTCGAGATTTCAGAGTCAGAGGGCAAAATCACGAACGTGAGAAAAGCGTCTCGAAGGTAGTTGGGGGTTTACGGTCCATTCTTTCAACTCTCCATCACTCTGTCCATTACAGACAAACCCCGCATTGTGTATGGGAAAAACAGAATCTCAGCCGGGCTGGGTACCTTGCAACCTGATTCTCCGTGTAGAGAAGGTAGTTAGTCTCCCCCCCCGCCCTCTCTTTTAGTCCGGACCATTTCTAAGTTGATATGTATATAAATAAAAAAAGGATTCATGGGTTCGTTGGATCCTTTTATTTGTTTTTTTTTTTTCTTCTTTTTTTCCGGGGGGGGAGGGTCATCAGATCTCATAGGCTGGCAAACCTGAATCTGGTTCTCCATTATGAGAGCAGCAAGCTCCCTCTCCAGGCCTGCCACTGTTGTATTGAATGCGCTTGCCATTGTCGGAAGATCAACAGATACGAACGGTGTCGTGTACTGGATCAACGCCTTGTGCCTGATTAGCTCGTAGAGCGTCTCAACATGGTCGTACAGATGCATGTCATAGAGAAGATCTGCTTTCAGCTTCTGCAGATATCCCAAACACGAAGCATATCGGCTGAAAGGGACAAAAACAGAGAATTGAACGGAAAGATTAGTACATAACAACACGTCCAAAAAACGCCAAGAACAGTCAATGCCATGCACTCACCACATGCATCCACACATGCACAGAGAGAGAGAGAGAGACCGTGAAAACAGAAATCGAATACAAATTGTGAAACTTCAAACTTGTGAAACTTGTAAATGGGCCAGAAAGAAAATTTGAAGTGTGCAGAGTCTGCAGACCCACTCTGTATTTCGATTTCCCTTAACCCACTCTGTATTTTGATTTTCTTTTTTGTTTTGTATTAATCAAGCCGCTGAAGGGTTTTTTTTTTTTTTTTTTTTTTTTTAATCGAAGTGACTCAAGTCACTGAACTTGGTATAAACCATACATGTGGCGCATCACGATGCGCTGCACCGGGCATCATGCACGATGGCCTGAAAGCTTTTAGTAAAATGGGGGTCGAAAAAAGAAAAGAAAAAAAGTCTTGAGGGGCGGCAGTAGACCCGGCCCCATGCTCGCGTAAAATAAGAAACGGGCAGCCAGATTTTTTTTGGAGGCCGCACGTTGGCCTGAAAGTTTTTAGTAAAACCTGTAGTCCGTGTAACACTGTGTGTGTATGGTAGGGTTCTTGCAGACTGTATGGTCGGGTTCTTGCAGGCCAGATTCAGTCATGATGGGGGTCGTGATCTCTCAAAGCGTTCGCTTCTTATTACTTCTGAAGTAGAAAACAACGGAACTGACAGCCGTTTCCTGGAGCTTTTTGCTAATAATAAAAAGAAAAGAACGTAAAGGAAGAAAATCAGAATGACTTACCTGTCGCCCGAATCCCTCAGAAGAGCCACCAACTGTGAGAAAAGAGAATGAATCTTCAGCTAGAACATGGAAAGATACATCGCCCTCGGTTTTCTCTTTTGATCATGTGGTGAGTGGTGGAGCGAAGCCTTCAGGGGGCTCCATCAGGTAATCAAGAGGTAGTTCATAGGGACTTCCCAGGCACTTCATGTGCAGGAGGCAGGAGGCAGTCTTCAGGATTCGGCAGCAGCACTCTGGAGGAGCGCTGCAGTAGTAGTAGTAGCGTTAGCAGTAGTCTTCAGCGCTGGGCGCTATTAGGAAATAGTAGCGTTGGAGAGAGAGATATGGTTGGCGGAGGCCAGGGAGACTTACCTGTGGCGCCATAGCTCCAGCTTCGTCTTCGATGTACCTGCAACAAGGCGCCACCTTCACAGGTTAGTACCGGACTGAGAGAGAGAGAGAGTGTTCTTCCCATCTTCCTCTCTTCTTCATCTAACCCCCCTCTTCTTCGTCTGTGTGTGGTTGGGGACTGGTGTTATGACCCTGGCCAATTTCGAGATACACATCCACTGGAAAGTACAATGCCATCCAATTGCAGAAAGAAATGAATGAACTTGAGAGGTGAGAGAGGAGAAGAAGAAGAAGAAGAAGTAAGAAAGAAGAAGAAGAAGAAGAAGATGTACACCAGCAAAGACAATGACAAGGCTCTTCTTCTTCGCCCAACAATCTCCTCCTCCTTATCTCCCCCTTCTCTTATTCATACAAGAAATAATAATACAATGTTGAATGACTGGTCCAGAATCATGTCCGAGTCCCTTTTCTACTGCAGGTATCACTCAAGSTCCACCATAGCCATGGCTGCCTCCCCCACTCTTCACACACATAGGCCGAGGCTATGGCGGCCTACTAGGCCTTGCACCGACGTCCAAAGGACAACCCAGAGCAGCTATGGCTGCTCCAGCTCAGGCCGCCATGCCCAGCCTTGCCTTGAAGCTTCTTGGTGTAGCTCCCCCCTGCTGGGGACTCCTTGCTGCAGCGCCCACCAAGGTGATGAAGATGGCCGCCACCATAGCCAGGTAAGTACCCCTGGCGCTCCTCCCCCTTCCCCCTTCCTTCCTCCTTCTTCCTCCCTCGTGTTCTTCTTCTTCCTCCCCAGCAGCGCAGCTCCAACCCAGCGCTGCTCCCTCCAGCGCTCCACCAGTGTCGCCAAACTTGCACACCGAAAAAGAGGCCGGGTCTTCCGCCCGGCCGGAAGATATAGCGGCCTGCTTTGCCTCTTGGGCGGTGACTTCCAGGCCGCTGGCCTTCCCAAGCAACCRGTACCTCYTCCTCYTTTTGGAGGGAACATCATTGCAGACTCTGATATTGCCCCTACAGGCCCTAGACTCAGACTGGTACCCGCTAGACCTAGCCTACACTACCGGCCTCTAAAAATGCCACTTTTGTCTTCTTCTGCTCGGCCTCCGGTACCTGCATATTAACCCCCCTGCCGAGTGCAGTACCGGCCTACCCGCTACTAGAGTGCTTTTTCCCTGCTGCAACCCTTCGAAGCCACGGCCACAGGTAAGTACCGGCCCTGAGGGCCCAACGAACGAACAAGTTCTGGATCCTTGGCTGTCTGCTCTACGAGTTCCTCCTTCAATTTCTTCCGGAGGTCGTAGGATTTCACAAGGCAAGTCATGTACTCAGGGTGGCGAGCCAAAGCGTCAGCGACTCGATTGTAACAGCCCTTTTTATGCCTCAATTCAAAATCAAAGATGTCAATCTCATGAAACCAGCGAAGCAAGGTAGGGGACAGAGTAGTCTGCATTTTGATCCACTTCAAGGTCTCATGATCTGAGAACACTTTGAAGTGGCGTCCCAACAGGTAATGTTTCCAGTGATCCAACGCCATGCGCAAAGCGTACAGCTCGCGCATGTAGGTGGAAGTGGCTACCTTTACGCTGGGCATTCGTTTGCTGTAGTACTCGAGTGGCCGCAGGCCATCGCCGTCATCTTGTTGCAGCACCTCACCGATCGCATACTGACTTGCATCCGTAGTAACTACGAAGGTCAGTTTGGGATCTGCAATGCGGAGTACCGGGTAACTTACCAAGGCTTCCTTGAGAGTTCGAAATGCTTCCGTACACGCGGCATCCCAGGAATAAGACACATTCTTGCTGGTTAGTCCCAACAATGGGTGAGCGATGATAGAAAAACGGGGTACAAACTTCTGATAGTACGACGCGAGACCAAGAAAAGAACGCACTTCACGAATGTTCACAGGCTGAGGCCAATCGCGTATGACCTCAATCTTGGTTGCCTCAGGTTCTAGGCCTGCAGCAGACAACCGGTGCCCAAGATAGATGACGCTATCCCTCCCAAACTCGGATTTCTCCAAGTTGAGATGGAACTGCGTTTTCTTGAGGACAGCAAGCACCTCCTCAAGATGCTTGAGGTGTTCCTCCATGGACTTGCTGAAAATCAGGATATCGTCCACGTACACTACCACAAACCGGCCAATCTATTTGCGGAGGACCTTGTCCATGAGGCTTTGGTACGTGGCTGGTGCGTTCGTAAGACCGAAGGGCATTACGGTGAACTCATAGAGCCCGTCGCGTGTTTTAAACGCAGTCTTGTGCTGGTCCGCAGGATCGACTTCAATCTGGTGGTAACCAGACTTGAGGTCGATCTTGGAGAAGACCTCGCACCCGCCCGCGGCATCAAGCAAGTCATCTATACGAGGCAATGGGTAAGCATTCTTTCTTGTGATGCGGTTTAGACCGCGATAGTCAATACACATGCGGAGTTTGCCTCCTTTCTTTGGCACAAACAACACAGGAGCACCAAATTCAGATTCACTTGGTTTGATCCACCCTTTGTCAATCATCTCATCGATCTGCCGCCGGAGTTCCTCCAACTCGTCGGGTCCCATACGGTACACGCAGCCCTTTGGAGGGACAACACCCTCGACCAGCTCGATGGTGTGTCGGACCGGTCGTGTGGGAACTCCACGTGGCTCAGCCAAGACTTCCAGAAACCGATCGAGGAGGGCTTGAATGTCTGATGGGACAGGTGGGGGTGGGGAATCAGCAAAGGGATCACCAAAGTCCGGTCGCAAATCGCGTATAGAGACGATCGAATATGAAGTAGGATCACTCGGACTATTAGAGGATAGAGAGATAGAGGTGCTAGTAGTAGAAGTACCAGAAGTAGATTCATCAATCGAAGTAGTAGTGGTATTAGCCGCAAAAGTAGAAGGCACATGARCAGGACGAACRAAGGCAACATACAACTGTTCTTCCTCTTTGTGCTTGCGCCACTTCTTGCAGAATTTCAATGCATTCAGAAAAGTCACTGGGGATTCGCGCTTCTCATCCAAGAGGACAGGAAGCTCGTTCCCCTGAGCATCTTTGACCATGAAGAGTGATTCCTTCCACTTGGTCCATTCGCATTGGGACTGCAACCAGCCCAAGCCAAGGACAGCGTCGAAGGGGCACTTGTCAAGGACAAAGAAGTTCAGTGCATGGGTGACAGTCTTACCTTTGTCAAAGGTAGTGCGCACACCTTTGACTGCATGTGTTGAACAGACAACTTCTTTGTTGCCAACTTGGGTCCGGCAAGGGTTCTGTAGGGCCACTTGCTTCATCCCCAAGCCCACCTTGCGTATCCCATGTGGTGACATGAAGTTAGCTGTAGCACCACAATCAACTAACACACAGAGATAGCGGTGGTTGATGAGAAGTTTAAAGAAGATTAACTTCACTGTCCCTTGGGCCCGCTGCTGTTTCATTTCAGCCAAATGCTCCAAGTGGTAGTGGAAGTCAATCATCTCAGACTCCTCCCAAGGCTCGTCATACAATACATTACGTACCACAGCCTTGTCTTCAGCAGATGGTTGGGCTTCATGGGAGGGTTGCTGATCTTCAACAGAGCCAGCCTCCCTTGCTGTAGAGTTTGCTGAGTCTGACTCTACGCCCGATTCTGGTTTCCCTGCAGCCTATAACAATCTTGAACTTTATGATTTGGCTTTTGGCAATGCAGGCAAACCCCCTTCAGTCATTCTCTGTAATCCGGAGGTCAACCCATGGTTTGGTAGATGCATCCTCCAGTTTAGGCGGGATCTTAACTCCTTTGGGGAGCTGGACATAACTCTTTCCGGCACTCCGATTCGGTCCCTTAGTGTTGGCGGTCTTTTTAAAGGCAGAAAAATTTTCTTCTTCGTTATTTGCATCACACTCATGGGCTGAAGAACAAGTTGTATCGGAGTCTTGTTCTTGGTCGTCACCAAGAGTGGGGTCAACCGCATCGGCTTCTCCTTCGGCCTCCAGCAGGACTTGCACAACAAGACGGTTGCTGCCCTTGAACCGTATGCCGCCAATGGGCTTTTTGTTGCCTGCCGTGCTAACGAGGTCCATGGCCTCCACACTGACTACATCCTTCATTAACGCAAGCCAGTCAGTATAAGCAATGTAGTCCCTGCCCAGGCGACTAGTGAAGTTAGTTGGAACCGCGCCCTTGACCACATCTAAGCAAGATTGAGTGGACAATTCCAAACCAGGAGTGGCAAACAGTTTGCTCAGATAGGTCTGCAGGCTTTTCATGGAGCCATTCCACTTGTTGTGCTTTACTTTATCCAGTTGAATCCTCGCTTTAGTTGCAATATGTGGATCTTGGTATTCTGAGATAAGGAGTTCTTCGAGGGAGGCAACCGGGGTGGACCTTAGCCATTTGGCTAGTGCAGACTTTTGAAACCCAGCCCGCGTTGCTTGGACTTCTAGGAAGCCCCGTACGACTGGCTCGACATTCATACCCATGATAATCGCCTGTGTCTCAGCTTGAGTCCCCATGATCTCAAAGTAGGGCGTCATGGAGCCTATCCAGGACTCGATGTCTTCCTTGCCATCGTACTTGGACGGTATTTGAACCGCCTTCCGGTCCACATACGGACTGGCGTGGCTGGGACCAGCAGCAGCTGGTTCCGGCCTTGGGGCTGAAGCAATTGCAGAAGTTCCAGCCTCGTTGCTTGTTGCAGCAACAGTGGAATCTGCACCTGCTGCAGGTCCCGAAGGAGTTGCCATCACACTCGAAGATGAGGTAGAAGAAGACACAGTAAGAGGGGCAGAGGTAGTTTCGATTGCAGCTTCAGTTCCAGGAGGTAGAGGAAGAGGGTTGGCCACTTGGGCTTGTCGCAGATCTGCCACCTACTTTGTCAGTTCATGGTAGTTAAGGGTCATCTCAGTCAGATCATCCTGAAGTGTCTGCAGTTTTGCAAAGACTTCAGCGATCTGAGTGGTATGGTCCTCAAGATTCCTGATTTGAACAAAGGCTGTGAGGATGGACTGCAGCTGTTCCTTGCACTGCTCTTCAATCAGTGAGGGAACAGTCTCTAGGAGGGCTACTTGCCTTCTCAACAAGGCCTCCTTCCTCTCCTTCTCTGACTCCTATTGCCGTTTTATAGCACCATCTAAGAGTGCTTGCAGATGTGGTTTCTCAGCATCACCGGCTGCATCTAACAAGGCCCGCCATTGCGTCGAATTTAGCTGGGCCATCTTTGGACTGTCAGTGTGGGCAGGTGGATCAGAGAGTCGCCAGGCAGCAAAAGAATCAATCAGACTCTCAAGAGGTTCACTCCCCCTCGCGCTTAGACGAACACTCCTTTTCCCAGTCCTTGCCCACCTCAGACTATCACTTTCCCTCTCTCCCTGTTCTCTCTCCCTCCTCTCTCTTTCTTCTTTTTGATTGCGAGTCTCCACGGGCATCGGAAATGAACTCAGAAAAACAGATAAAGCTCAGAGAAAAGAAGGTAGAACCCCTGGCCGGAGCGGCATTTCATTTGGAAGCAGAGAACAACAAAAGAAACAATCAAACTCAAAAGAGAGGTCTGATTCAGCGACCCAGTCTGATCAGGCTGCATACGAGATCCTCTCGAGTCCAGCCTGACCAGCTCCGTGTCCGTACAGCAAATCAGACAACGAGTGACCAAATGCAACGATGGAGAATTGAGTGGTGTACAGGGTGCGAGTCAAGCCATGGACGGTGCAATCAGAATGCAAGCAAAACGTCAAAGCCAAGATCCCCTCGGCAGTGGGTGTCCTAATCCAAGAAGAATGAACTCATATCCCAGTCAAGAAGACAAGAGGTCAATGCCTAACCGATTTGGGTCCAGAGACTCTCCTTGTTTGGGCCCGGTTCCGCTGGGTCCCAAGGGTCCCACGTAGGTCTCAACCAGGTCCCAACCAAGAGGAGTACCACCTGACCTTAGTTCAGTCTCAACTGCACTGAAAAACGAAATTTCAACTTCTGGCAGAACCTACAGACTGCAACCGCTCAGTGATGAAAAGACAAAGCACTGTAGAAAGACTCGGCATGTATGACAAGATACTTCATTTTCCATCCATCAGGTGAGTAGGTAGATCACATGCATTCAGTCACACAATCAAGACCACAGAGGAGTAGGAAAAGAAACCCAGAGTACCCCAGCAGGTCAATCAGTACCATACACACATACATGGGCATCCCATAGGTGCACGGCACTTACCTGAGTGGCCTTGAGCTTCGAGATGAAGAGAACTCACCCCCCTTCTCATATGGTCCTCATGACCCATCTAACGCTACCCCTACACTAGTGTCCTATCTCCTAGGAGGGTCTGACTCCAACACCCAAGTGCAACGCCGGATCCCCCGTCGATGCTGAAGAACAAAGTGGCAACTTGTAGTCCGTTGATACAGAATGGACGCTGACCCTCAATGTTCGCCTTACTTGAGGGCAGCCCTTAAGTTGCAAAGTGTCTCCCTTGGCTCAGATTCCAGGTGCGAGTGCCTCTCACTGTCGCCTCTCTCAAATCGCCGCATGAAGTCTCCTCGAAATGTCTCGCCACCCTAATCCCACTCTCAAGCAACCTGGTTAGAGTCTATGTTGACCCCACATGACCTAACCAGGTGGGGGCAGCTTCCCTTAGCCACGCTGCCCCACTTCCTCCAACCATCCAACCCTAASCCTAAGTGTTGCCCTCAACCACTTAGGTTAGGGTTAGGGTAGCAAAGTCRACTCTCACCAGCAAGTAGAATCCGCTCCGATACCAATGTTATGACCCTGGCCAATTTCGAGATACACATCCACTGGAAAGTACAATGCCATCCAATTGCAGAAAGAAATGAATGAACTTGAGAGGTGAGAGAGGAGAAGAAGAAGAAGAAGAAGTAAGAAAGAAGAAGAAGAAGATGTACACCAGCAAAGACAATGACAAGGCTCTTCTTCTTCGCCCAACAATCTCCTCCTCCTTATCTCCCCCTTCTCTTATTCATACAAGAAATAATAATACAATGTTGAATGACTGGTCCAGAATCATGTCCGAGTCCCTTTTCTACTGCAGGTATCACTCAAGSTCCACCATAGCCATGGCTGCCTCCCCCACTCTTCACACACATAGGCCGAGGCTATGGCGGCCTACTAGGCCTTGCACCGACGTCCAAAGGACAACCCAGAGCAGCTATGGCTGCTCCAGCTCAGGCCGCCATGCCCAGCCTTGCCTTGAAGCTTCTTGGTGTAGCTCCCCCCTGCTGGGGACTCCTTGCTGCAGCGCCCACCAAGGTGATGAAGATGGCCGCCACCATAGCCAGGTAAGTACCCCTGGCGCTCCTCCCCCTTCCCCCTTCCTTCCTCCTTCTTCCTCCCTCGTGTTCTTCTTCTTCCTCCCCAGCAGCGCAGCTCCAACCCAGCGCTGCTCCCTCCAGCGCTCCACCAGTGTCGCCAAACTTGCACACCGAAAAAGAGGCCGGGTCTTCCGCCCGGCCGGAAGATATAGCGGCCTGCTTTGCCTCTTGGGCGGTGACTTCCAGGCCGCTGGCCTTCCCAAGCAACCAGTACCTCTTCCTCCTTTTGGAGGGAACATCATTGCAGACTCTGATATTGCCCCTACAGGCCCTAGACTCAGACTGGTACCCGCTAGACCTAGCCTACACTACCGGCCTCTAAAAATGCCACTTTTGTCTTCTTCTGCTTGGCCTTCGGTACCTGCATATTTACCCCCCTGCCGGGTGCGGTACCGGCCTACCCGCTACTTGAGTGCTTTTTCCCTGCTGCAACCCTTCGAAGCCACGGCCACAGGTAAGTACCGGCCCTGAGGGCCCAACGAATGAACAAGTGCCCTGGCGGGCCACACACACACACACTCATACCAACCAGCATTCAGACAGGCATGGTCTCACATGCAAGCCAACCAGCACTCAGACAGACATGCAGTCCAGCAAGCACACACACACACAGACTTAGCAGGCGGGGAACTCAGTAGGGCATTCAGTGTATGAGCAAAACTCAGGAATCAGCTGTGTGTTTCAGTCCGTGTTCGGACGGGTTATCACACTGGCGCATTCTTCCTGTGTGAGCGCCAGGGCCGTTCACACCATGGAATGATGATGATGTATGTTTGGTCTGCATTGCAACATTGATTGTTCGGATCATTCGTATATTAGCCTTCCGCTGCGCTATCTTGTACTATGTGAGAGAGGTCGGTTCTTGTTCTGGTCTTTATCATTAAGGTATGCAACACTAGGCCAGAATGCCCCAGCCTGGGCTGGCCTCTTTCCTTTATGGAAAGTGCAGCCCCTGTGTGTGTCTGCCTGGGCCTGGCTGGGGAAGTTTCCAGTAGCTTCCAGTCGGGCCCCAGTCTCTGCGCCCAGGCCCACCTCTACAGTTAAGGGCCTGGGCCCTTTCCGGTTGGGCACGTATAGGTAGCCTCCCAGGCTCCAAGGGTTGGCCACATTCTCATTGGCTCGCGGAGATTGTGTGACGACAATGCTGCTTTCTCATTCGTCC